TCAGTGTTAATTTCGTTGACGAATAATTTTCGTCATAATTTTCATCAAAGACATTTTTTTCACTGACGGCAATGAGACGATAACGAACTAAAACTCTTTTTGAATGACAAAAACTATGACAAAAATTAATTGACATTTTCGTCAACGAATAAAAACGAGACGAAAATGTTAGGGAGGGACGATTTGGGAAGAGATTCATTCAATTTCAGAACTAATCTGCTGCGTGGTTAGGAGGTTAGATGCGCACATATGAACCGGCGGGACATAAGCTAACATACATTTGCTGCACGTCACATAAAACGTTCAAAAATGTCAATATGTAGGAGTAAGAGAAGAGCAGACATATGGATAAATCTGACGACGCAAGAGAGAACTCATTTCGGTCCGGTTTTCTGAGCGCAGACACTGAAGCATACACACACAGAGAGCGCGTCTCACAGCGCGCGAGTACTCTTTCGCGTCACATGAACGGAGAATTACACACAAAATGATGTTGAATTGTCCGTTTTGACGAGTATTCACGTAAACACAGTTGATTACGTCTTAAGTGAACATAAACAGTAGGGAGAACGTATATCAGTATATTGCATCCACTGCAGCTGTGCATTCGGTTTTAAAGGGACAGCAGCCTAATTTAGTTGCTATTGTCCGAGTCATTGATGTTAAAGCTGCAACAAAAGAAAGACAGAAAATCACGCACTGCTCTTGACTGAAAAACGTTAGTAGCCCTAAAGATTAATCTAAATGTATTTATTGGGTCATATATTCCAAGACGTAGGCTAGAATCTGTGATTGCGAAGTACAGTAAATATCCACACCGGTGCGGTGACTGACTGCCACACATACTCTTCAGAACATTAGATTCATCCGCGCTGGAGCCGTGCCAACTCACAACCCACGCAAGCTAGATAATTCCGCACCCAGCTGCAATTTTAGGTTTTCAAACAGAGATGGCGACAAAGAGGCAAAACATACAGACTGCAGCTTTAATCAAGCAACGAAAGACAGAAAATCACTCACTGCTCTTGACTGAAAAACTTTAGTAGCCCTAAAGATTCATCTAAATTTATTTACAGAAATAAATATGTCTACCTGAAAGAATGAAGAATATGGTAAACAAGTTGCTATAAAGAATACAAATTAGCCTATATAACCATTGGCATTTCATTAAAAAGAAGACCATGTTCTTTATGAGAAGTGGTTTTATTTAATTTTAACATAAAGGCATGTTGTGCGTCACCGCAGTTAAATCGGTGTCTATCATGATAAAACCTTAATATCAAACCTATATAATGAGTTTGGAAATTTTGGAGAAATGCTTAATAAACGCATTATACTGTAACTAAACCCATTCGATTTTAGCCGACTAAATTTACTGTAGATTTAGTCGACTAAAATCGTATGATATTTAGTCGACTAAAACTAGACTAAAACTAAAAACAAACTCAGGTGACTAAAATATGACAAACTAAATGGCATTTTAGTCAAAAGACTATGACTAAAACTGAATCAAAATTTGCTGTCAAAATTAACACTGATAATTACACCATTCAAAAGTATGAGGTCAGTAAGATTTTTTTTAAATAAATTACTTTTATTCAGCAAGGACACATTAAATTGATCAAAAGTGTCAGTAAAGACTCCCACATTATTATAAAAAATATATTTCAAATAAATGCTCATTATTGGAACTTTCTACTAATCACAAAAACATGAAAAATGTAATCACAGTTTCCACACAAATATTAAGCAGCACAAATGCTTCCAACATTGATAATAATAATAGCTTCTTGAGCTGCAAATCAGCATATTAGAATGATTTCTGAAGGATCATGTAAACCTGAATAATATATGGCTGCTAACAATTCAGCAATTCATAAAATCTTACATATAGAAGTATTTTTGTCAATCATAAATGTTATGGCACTTAATCAAAATACAAGAATTCCATTCCACACTGTGGAAGTGCTAAATTTGTACAGCCTACTTACAAACACAAATCTCATACAAAATACAGCTACATTTACAGTAGACAGTAAACAGTAGAGATGCTCCAATCAGGATTTTTGCAGCCGATACTGAGTACCGATTTCTTGTCATGGTGATCGGCCGATACAGATGCCGATTCTGATGCTTCAAGCTTTATATAGACAGTTTCATCGGGTGCACGCGCCTGGCCCGAAGTTAACTTCCGGTCTGTGTTTGTTTATCAGTCTGGCTATGGCGCCGGCTACAAACGCAGTTAAAGTTAAGGTGATGAGTAGACTGAAGTTGGGCTCAGGTGGCTGTGCTGTGGGATGTGTTTCCCATACATTTATTTATTTGTGGCACTCGCCACAATATCAAAACTGACAGATTTTCCAAAAGGCTTCGTTGAATAAACATGAGCAAGTACTGCACTTGTAAAAATCAAAATGAGGCGCGGGTGTTTTTATATCACTGTATTTCTAAAGGAAGACTATCTTTAGAAAATTTTCGATGTCATTTTCATTTCATCTTGCATGTTAAATGCCTGGTAAAGCAGCGTTTGTGAGCTCAGCGCTGTTTTGTGTACAGCCGTTACTGGGGAAACCTCTGTTTCTCCCGGGTGGGTCGCGGGGTGGATAAAATAAATCATAAATGATGCAAATATTAACTATATTTAAAAATAAATTTTTTTCATGAGGCAGACGATTTCGTGTGTGTGTATGTGTTCGTTCGCCTGATCGGGAAGTTGCAGTGACAGAAACGGTGACATTCCAGATAAAGTTTGAAAGGAGTAAAGCCTGTGTTAATGCTATTGAGTAGGCTAATATGGCCAAAGAAGATTTTGTTTTATAAATAAATGTTCATTTAAAAGCAGCCCACGATCAGCGTATTATGTTACCGTTATCCCTTACAGCTCCGACGAGGTTTTGTTCCGTCCACCACGCGGTGACAACTCACAAAAGACTATTTTTAGCCAAGCAGCGTGGAGAGCCACTTTTGAAACATGCCGCGGCTGGCTGATAAACACAAGCACTGACTAGAACGGCCGCGATCAGCTCCGGTAACCGTGGAGCCGTAACGCGCCGCAGACGTGTGCAGTGAGGAGCAGATGGTGGAAAGCCGGCTTGAAACGCAGTGGAAACGCCAGTATGACGAGGATCATTTTCATTTTAAAACATAAACGCACCAGTGTAAATGCAGCCTTACATCTAAGGGGGCTGGGATGCATTAGCACTACAGCCTCACGTGTGCGCCACATCTCTGAGTGTAACCGGTGTAAACTAGTAGGTGTGTTCGACTTGACGCGGACCGACTGTGCAGACCGATCAGTGTATTACAGTACCATGAGAGCTAAAGAGAGCAGACTGCTCCGTGCGCTTTCGAATCGCTCTCGCGGATGTCAAACACTGATCGATCTGTCTGACTATAACACTATTGTCTGATTTTGCTCTATTTCGTCGTCGAAAATAGTTTCAAACAAAGTCACAGCGGAGCCGCTGCGCATCTCCATTCAAACACAGCGGTGTTTCGTTTATGAATGAACGGGGTTTTTTAAACGAATCTATTGAGTCAGTGATTTATGATTACCCATTCATAAAGACAGTCACTTGCTTCATTCCTGAATGAATCAGCCGTTCGAATGAATCAATTGAATGAATGATTCAGTGATAAAAATAAGACTTGCCACCACCTGCTGGCAGTTTTTGTTTCATTTTTAAAGTATCTTTTCAGTTGTTTAAATCATTTAATATTTCTATATTCAAAATGTTATATTTAAAACATTAATCTCATCATGAATTTATGGATTTAATTGCACTCATGTCACTTCTGAGCCTCATTAAATGTCTGAAAGTACACCAAGCCACTTTTGTGTTCTTCTGTGCCACCTCTACAAATTAATTTTGTTAATACTGATTTCATTTGATTGGTAACTTATATTACTTGTTCTTATTCTGTCGGTTTAATTACAATTTTTAAAAAGCTTATAAAATAAAAAAAATTTAAGAATTTGACAAAAGATTACATAATTTTAATAAAGTTAGAGGAGTCAAATATCACCTCGTAATGGGAAGGCTACTTTTTTTATAAAACTTTGGATTATTGATTAGAAGGTGCTCCTAAAATTTTGAACGTGCTCCTAAATTTTTTAAGTAAAAAGAAAAGCAAGCGTAGAGCCCTGTAAGGTTTAGGAAATCTTGAACTGCTAAAAAACGGCAAAAGGAGGAGAATTTGTCTGCTTATTTGAACAAAGTGGTGGTCTCATCTTCATCTAACACTGAACAAAGATTGAGAAAATACAACACACCCTCTTTATTTTCACAGCAAAATCCTCAGTGGAAATGCAGAATTCAAAAATTGTATTTCTGTAACAGATGGAGCCACTGAGAGAGTTCATCAGAACATGTTATGGTCTTACCTTGAAGCATGCATCTGTAGGCAGATTCAGAAATGGCGTAGATATGAGGTGGCATTTCATGCCTCTTCTTGCCCCTGTACATCTCAATGATGTTCTCGGAGTATATGGGGAGGTTTTTGTATGGGTTTATGACCACACAGAAGAGTCCTGAGTATGTCTGCACAGAGACAAGAACAAACAAAAGGAGGAAAGAAATGTAACACTTAATTGGTGGTCAACTTATAAGGATTTTTGCAATTAATTACATTGAGAACATAAGTACAATTCATAATTGAAGCCTGCAACTTGAGATAAATCCCAACATTTTCACATATAAGAACCAGCAGAACGATTAAATATATAATGTAACCCTTTGTCTTATTTCTTGTAAAGCCCCCCTTCCATCTCTAGTTTACTCGTTTACTGGTTTAACATAAGCAGTAAAGCTAGTGTTTGTATAATCATTTAGGGATTTCTGAAACACAGAATACTCCAGAGTAACTTGTGAAATATCCTAGAATAAGCCTATAGTTTTTTCCATTCATACAGTTTCTGTTAATCTTTTTCATTCTAAAACTGAGATGTTCCTTAAGTAACAGCCCCAGCATTTGACTATACCACTCCATCTCCAGCTGACACATGGTTGATCACACAGGGCACTACACTTAGTATTCGCTGCACAGCAACATCAACTGCATCATCAGCTGCTATTACCTTTACAAAAATGACAATGGGTTGACAAACAAATATTGACAAAAATTTATAAGATTTATGAAATGGAATATGTATGTTTTTACATGTGGTAATGGTCACAACTGTTAAAATCCACTAATTAAGAGTGTCACACTGTAAAACATCTGAATAAATAACATCTGTAAAACAGTAAATCTGAAAATAAACATTATGTTTAATGAGTGTCTAAAAATCAAGCTTTAAATTTTAGGAAAGTTTGGGGCCAAATTTGAATGAACGACCATATATTTTTCTATTAATTATGTTTAGACGGGTGTCAGTTTAAGACAACAGAACACAGTGATATGATGCCAGTTGCATCATATACATATTTACTAAAATAATTAGAAATAAATAATCTGAAACTAGGCATGGGCCGGTATGAGATTTTGACGGTATGATAACCTTAAGCAAAAATATCACGGTATTGTCGTTACAGCTCTAAAATGTGTTATTTTTAAATGACTGGGTAAAAAATTTTTAAAAAAACTTTCCGCTGAACACAATATATTTTGTTATTGAGCAACATACAGAATATTAGGAACAGTAGAATTTGTTAATTTTTTCTTTGATTTGTTTCCTAAAAAGAAGAAAAATAAAGACTGACATTTTATTTAACCTAAATCTGTAATTACAGTTATTTAATTGTTGTTATATAATTCATATACATATCATTTATATCATTTCATATCATTTAGTTATATAATTTCATAAACAATTTGATTTAATAATAACCCAATTTGAAGCAAAAACAGAATGTTCTGTCGCTCGCACCAACAGGAGGAGGAGACATGTTACTCTCTACACTGCACTCAACCTGAGGGATTCCTACACTTTCAGTCTTTGAGGAGACATGAAAAACAGCGCATGCCGCAGCAACGGTATAACGGAAAATATTAGCGGTTTTGAAACCGTGACATTTTCAAATCGCGGTATACCTTGAAACCGTTAATCGGCCCATGCCTATCTGAAACTAAATCAATTTGAAAAAAAAATAAAAATCTCAACAGAACAAAAGAACAAGCGTTTTATGCAAGCTATGCACACAAGATCTATCTAACAGCTGAAATTTGTGGCAAAAAAAACTTTGTTAGATATTCAAATGCTAAATTTCAGCCAGTAATATTGGCCATTGTGATATATCGGTGGACTGCTATAAAATAATGTAATGGGATCAAATTGTTTATGAATTTAAGATTTTTTTCAAGAAGGGACAGTGAAAACCTGCCAAGTCAAGAGCCTAATACTGATATCTGCATTAAGTGTACAGAATTAAGGTATTTCTCTTGAGAAATGCTGGCATCTTTCACTGCCAGTGCAGCTGTCCTGCAGTGAGCCTGCTCTTCATTACTAGGGATGCACCGATACAGATACTGGTATCGGTATCGGGCCCGATACTGAGCTCCTGTACTCGTACTCGTACTCGTTAAAATGCTCCGATGCCAAACGCCGATACCACACAGCATGTGATAAGTGCCATATTCAGAAAATGAAACACCGACAACAGAACAACAGACAGCAGAAAGGAGTTAAGGATGTCTACTACGAAGTATATGTATGCAATGAATATAACGTTAAACATTCAGTATTAATGCCTGTATAGCTGAAGTGCGCGAGCTGATAAAAGAAGACATTTACAAGATATTAACCCTGTCCTTCAAGCGGTTTCATATACGAGGCTATAACTGAGAGCAACCTGTGTTTGTTTGAATGTTTGGCCACTGCTGGGTGATCCAGACACATGGTGAGGGGGCACGTCAGGGGAGAGGTAATCACTGTCTGCCTGCTGAAGGGTCCTTCTATTGGCTGACGTTGTGTTTATGAGTGGAAATATATATATATATATATATGGGTGTGGAGGAGTATCGGGGTTGCATTGAGGACAGATCTGTCTACATCCCACTCCCAGCTCCCCACCAGACAAAGCCGTCCTGCCAAACTAGATCGCAGGCCAGAACAATAGACTTGGACTCAGGGGACTTGTGGCTGGAAAGTAGTTTCTCTCCAGTAGGGCTGCACAATCAAATTTCTAATCATGAAAGCGGCAATTAATCGTTCAAAGTCCACTTATGTTATTCTGCATGCTTAAGATGTGTTTTTTCCTTCTACAGGTTAGGGTAAACGTACCTATTAATCTCACGTACCCATTAAGCACACTTCCATATTTGAGCTCGGATTATAAAAAGACAAAATAATGTATTATCATACTTGATGTCTTAACCAATTGATGCGTTTGTTACTACATACCTCCTGTAATTTCAAGTCAATCAGATCATTGCACACTGAGATATGAGTATCTATGTGTTCACACTGTCTGCTGGCCATTTTGAAAGCTGTCTGAAAACTTTCACCAAAAGAGGAGCCCTTTAAATGT